TAATAAGCTAAATCAAAAATTGAAACACGCCGAACAAAATTTTAATTTCAAATTATTTAAATCCTGCCAAGGAGATGTAAAACGGACGTGGAATAATTTAAATTTGCTTCTGGGTAGAACAGTAAATTCACTGGATGAGATGATAATTCGATACATGTCGCGTAGAATGCAATTGCCCGAAATACTAAGTGGATTTGGAAAATATTTTGAAAACGCACCCGTTAACAACTCGCACACATGCAATTTTAAAGCACTTCGAGAAAACGAGCAGCGAGAATCAGCGCTGCAAAGTATGCGGCTGCCTCTCGCTTCTCCTGTACACATCACACACATAATTGAACACTTAAATAAAAACAAAGGCCCCGGTGTTGATAAAATCTCCGTCCGTGATGTTCTGAGTGGAGGAAGTGCACTTGTGCATCTAATCTGCTCAGTTATCAATGAATCGATAAAAAAATCTGATTTTCCGCAATGTTTAAAAAAAGCAATAATCCGCCCAATTTACAAAGACTCTGCCCACGACAAGTTTGAAAACTACAGACCTATTTCCATTCTTCCTGTTTTTGACAAAATATTCGAAAAGTATATTGAATTTTACCTTATGCAATATTTGAAAGAATTTAATATAATTGATAAGCGTCAATTTGCATACCAGAGAGGAAAATGTGTCAATGAACTTTTTAGCAATTTCTCTGATTTTGTTAATCTTGCACTCAAAGATAATAAACACGTAGCTGCAATTTTTATTGACATGAGAAAAGCCTTTGACGTTTTAAATTATGAAAAACTGTTAAAAAAACTTGAAAAAATTGGCATAAGAGGACCAGTGTTGGAATTAATAAAAAGCTACTTGAATAATAGAAAATTTGCGGTAAAACTCTGCGATGAATATAGTGAAGAATTTAGCGCTAATTGTGGAGTGCCTCAGGGCTCCATACTTGGCCCTATCTTATTTATTTTATTCATGAATGATCTATTCTCACTTTTAAAAGACTGCACAATATTTATATTCGCAGATGATATTGTTATATTATTTTCACATGAGAAATTTAATGTTTGTCAAAAAATAATCCAGACTGAATTTGATATATTAGTTGAATGGTGCCATGACAATGGATTCCTAATAAACACAAGAAAAACTGTATGTATGCATTTTTGCAAGCCAGTTATGAGAAAAGACTTAAGTCTTAAAATTGTGTGCCATGAAACTACATGTCTACATAATTTTTGTATCGGATGCATTTGCGCCTTATTGAAACAAGTGGAAGTAACAAAATATCTTGGCTTGTACGTAGATCAAAATTTTGACTGGAAAACACATACACAACATATTGCAAAAAAATTAAGAAAAATTATTTGCGAGTTTAATTATTTGAAAGCGAATATGCCTTATCATGTAAGACGTATTATGTATTTTTCGTTAGCTCATTCATACTTGAATTATGGTGTAACCGCATGGGGATCAGCCAACTTATCCTCATTAAAAAATTTGCAAGAGAGAGTCTTATATAAAATGTGTACACGAAAGCATAAAGAGACAATTGAAAATCAGTTTGAGTTCTGGAATGTGCTGTCTGTAGATAAAATATTTGAATTAAATTTATTATGCTTGAAGTACTTTGATGAGAACCATGGAGTACCTAGAATCCACCCTTATAGCACGAGAGCATTGCAATTAGGACCAGTAATTGAGCCTATAAAAGACAGTAAATATTTCAATAGAACGTCGGAATGTATATTACCACGTTTGTGGAATCTGTTGCCACCAGAGTTAAAAAACATGCAGAACAAAAATGATGTGAAATACAAATTAAAAAAATGGATGTTAAAACAAAATTGAACAAATTGTATGAACAAATTGAAAATAATATAGAGCACTGTAGAATTTCTTTGTAAGCACTAAAAGCTTCTAACTTGAAGCAATTAGTCTGATAAGCACCAGCCGATAATTTCTTCGGAAATTGGCTGGACTTGTAATGAAAAAATAAATAAATATCTTTCAATAAAAAAAAAAAAAAAAAGTTCTTTGTTCTCAAGTGAGAGTGTGTCTAGCGTGGACTATTTATTAGTTAATATTTTCAAATATAATTTTTACTAGCAAAAACCTTTTGTTTGTCCACTGAAACTCTGACCTTTAATAATTTCTCTCGCTTTCCGTAAGAGTTTTCCAAAAATAAAAATTTTGACTCGGTAGCAGAAAAAAATAAAGTTGTTAAATTTTTTTATTAAAATATTTTACCGTTTGAATTAAATTGCAGATCAGAATTTTTATGTTTGTTATAAAATTTAATCAAATTTTCAAATTTTTTCTCTTGAGAATTATTTAAATCAATCCGCAAATAGCTGTTGCAAAAATTTTAAATAAAAATTAAATTATCAAAATCATACTGCGGCCGAAGATCAGCGTTAAAGATAGAAAAATTGGAAAAATTGAAGATAATATTCCTGGCCATTTATTTTTTCCTCCGCCAAGAGAAGAGTGTTCGCGCGCCGTGTCAGGTGCACGGCGCGTTTGCAGCCAATCAGCGGCTGGCTGGCTGTTTGCCACTGGTCCTTAGAGCAGGCAGCAGGTGGCAGCAGGCGAGCCAGGCGAGGCGCACCGTAGCACTCGTAGCAGCCAAGCCAACAAAAATATAAACAAAACAAACAAACACCCAAAATTTGGTTTGTGATTTTCTTTTGCGATTTTACAATTATTTTGGTATTCTGGGCGCATTATACGCGAAATAATTTGTACGCCATGGAAACAGAGCAACTCGCTTTTTATCACGAATCCCTGCGATGCCTCAAATTCAAGGAAAAACCAGGCTCTCCCGAGATCGAGTCGCAACTTCATGTTTCCGATCAGGAAAGGGAAATATAATGACGGAGGTATGTAATTTAGTTTTCAATTAAGAACTTATAAATTATTAAAATGGTATCAAAAATTAAACGGAATGTTTCTTAAATATTAACAAATATTAAATTATTTTAAGTATAAATATCTAAAGAGATAAAATTTGATTTAAACTCAATTTAACCAAAAAAAGATTTTTGAAACGTCAAATTTATGGAAATTAAATTAAATTTTAAATCACAATCTAAATGATTAAAGGTTTTGGAGACCACTGAAATGCAGTTCTACGATGGCTGAAAGTAAAATACTGATCCTGGACGGCCTCTGGACTGATTAATGTATTTTTCATCTATAATCCAAGACCTGACAAGCTTGTCCGCAGCTACGTACATGTAGAATATCCCAAACTTTATTTGGCAAGTGAGATGTAAATAAATTTATTTTGTTTGTAAATCATAAATTAAAATAAAAATTATGTTTAACTAGTTCCGATTGGTTTTTAAGATGTTCGTAGCAATATCATATTTTTTTCCTAATTGTTATCTATTAATTCAAAAAATATTTTAAAGAAAGTTTGGATTCATTATTATTTTTGCAGTGACCTTCTAGGCCCTCTGAGTAAAACCCTTCTTGACTTGAATTGTCTACGTACATAATTTTTCTACTATGTATATAATTGTTCATTTACTGAAATTGTAACTTGAAATTGCTCAAAATCATTGTAATCCTTGTCTTTCTTGACCAATTTAACTTCTAAAATTTCTCAGATTTTTTATATTAAATTAACTTAGAAATTAAATTTAACAACACAAGATGTATTTTTACTGCATTTTTATTTCTTCAGAAAAAAAAATAATAAATTTAATATACTTTATAGGACAGGAGGACCATAAACCCAATAATTTCAATTAATGTTTAGGACCGTCAGGGTGAGCTGTACAATAGTTGTATTTTTCTTCTATTAATTTAAATCACGCGCGCTTGATTTAGTATCCCACTTTCAACATTGGCTGTGTTTCTTTAAAGGAGAAACTCTTGGCCAAGTTGGCGGGACTCTCCTCACCTAACAATCCCATCACAAATCAGCCAACCTCCTCGTTACGCCCCCTTTCAGAGCCCACTGTTGCCATTCGGTACCCGCCCGCCCTGACCTCTGCCGGATATGTTTGTACCAGTCTAGGAAACGACCTACAATCCATTTTGAGGCATGGTGAAAGAACAAACCGGAAAATATAATAACCGGTTTTAAAATATTGGCAATAAAAGTTGTTTAGACAAAAGTTTTTGCACTTGCAAATCAACAAACCAAAGCAGCAGCAAATTAATTTATAATCATGGTCAAGAAAAATTGCTGCGCTAAAAAGTGTAGGGTAAAATTGCCAAAATTCTTCTACAAGTTACCAACACTATCAGAAACGTAATAGAATAAGCATAAAATATTGAAATACATAATGCATATAAGATGATTTTTTTTACTGTGTTATAATTCTTTAATTAAACCCAATCGATTAGGCGTCAAGTTTGGATTGCAGCTAGTGGAAGAGCATCAGAATATTTTAAAGATGACAGCATTGACTATTATTTTTGTGATGGACACTTTTGCTCTACTGATTTTGTTGATGATGGTTGTTTTATGCTTGAAAACTACCCTGATTACAAAGGGAAATTAATTTTGAAGGAAGGAGCTTTTCCCACCCTAAGACTACCTTCTTTTAATAGTGGTAGAACCAATATTTGAAAATGTTTATTTATTTATTGAATGGCAGCAACACCTGGCAGTTTTTAAATTTGGCGCGTTCCAAGGTCAACTCTTTTTAACTTTCTCCCAACATGGGGGTGTCGAAAGGAGAAGAGATACATATTCGAAATAACGATTTGAAGTAAAAAATATCCATCATAGGCAGATTTATTTGAAATTTATAAATATTTATTTAAATTTTAAAGAACTTTTTCTTCTTCATCATCGTTTTACAGATAAAAAGGATGATTAACCTTGAAATTGATTTAGTTCTTCGTGAAACCCTTCTTGCTGTTTCCATAAATGACCGCTCACGTCTTGCGCGCGTATTTCCCATTATCGAGTGGCGCTGCAGTCGTCAGATTCGATTTTCCTGTTTTGGCATCCATGTTTTTTCAATCTTCTGCCGACTGCACGCGACAGCGCGTGTTTGTACCACAGCGATCACCACGTGGGTCAATTTGTTTTGTGCTTTAGCCGTTTACTGCCGAAAATCAAGCAAACTCGACTGTCGGCAACTTTAATTTTGAACTTCCGTACTTCGAGCGAAGTACTCTCCGTTTTATTTTAAATCAACAGACAATTTTAGGTGAGTTTTTTCGATAAAACACTTGGGACGCTAAATAGGAATGCAGACCCATGCCGAGCGTCACTATGTTTGTGGCGTTGAAATGCGAGACTAAAATGCTTGTCTTGTCATTGCAATTGGCTCTTTACTTTCAAATAAGGGAGAATGTCGATTTTGATTTGCATTTTGAGTTGAGCTAAGTCGGGAAAACTGAAATTAACCTGCCCCCACGCTTTGCCCTACGCACGTGGTCGCCATTTTAGGCAAAAATTAGATTTTTCATTTTGAAGCCGCGATGCTTGGAATTTTAGATCGTTTTGAAAAGTAATCTTTACATATCATTTTTATTTATGTTTTGCGAATTTTCAGAATCGTGACGGCATGGCTAAGATAAAGTCAAATGGGACTGTGGCGTCGCCGAAGCCCAATCCGGCCGAAAAGTTCAAAAAGGGCAAGAAGGGCGAAATGGTCTCCAAAGCTCCCGCCACCCCTCCTACCCCGAAGGCAATTTTGAACGCCAAAGAACCCAAGAGCAAGAAGGGCGTCGATATTCTCGCAAAAATTAAAAGCGGCAAAGAGTCTTCTTCAGAAGAAAGCGATGATGATGAGGAGGAAGAAGAGGAGGAAACTCCCAAGGTCAAAAATGGAAGCAAAGCTGCAGCTAAGCAGGTAAACTTAAAAAAATTTTAAACTTATTTATTTTTTCGTAAAACTTACTATTCTATTTAATAAATTTTAAATAATAACTTAATGTTATTGTAAATAATTATATTATCCATTATTCTTGTTATTAGCGATTAAATTACAAACGTTTCACATGATGTGTTTTCACTTTTCGATTCTCTGGATTTTAATTGACTGTTTAATGTGTTCAGGCTGAGGAGGAGGAAGAGTCTGACGAAGACGACAGTGAAGAGGAGGAGGAGGAAGCCCCAGCAAAGGCCCCGGCTAAAAAGTATTTTTAAATTTGTTACACACTGGACAATTTACTAAACCTCTGTTTCCTGTACCTAGGGTAACCGCTGCCAAGGAAGAGAGCAGTGAAGAAGAAAGTGAAGATGAATCTGGTGAAGAGGCCACCACAGTACCTGCAAAAGCCCCTCAAAAGAGGTAATTTTCTAATAATTCTTGCCAATGTCAAAATCTAATCCTCCTTTGTCCTTGCAGTGCTGCTAAAGAGGAATCTTCAGAAGAAGAAGGAAGTGATGATGAGGAAGAAGAGGAAAATGGAAAATCCACGCGCCCCTGCACAGAAGACTTCCTGGAAGAGGAACCTATGAAATTCAAAAAGGGCAAAGACAGCTTTAATAATTCTTCAAATTCGGGCGGACAGACCTTCCGGATATTTGTCGGATACATTCCTCAAGCGTAAGTTGGAGATATTTTTGTATTTTTACCAAATTTTGACATGGTTTTTCCTTTTGCAGGCCGAATCACAGTGGCTTAATGAGTCACCTAGGAGTTAATGAGAATGAACTCAATGACCTGCACATCATGAAGCCCCGTTTCGACGAACCTCCTAGACCGAAGGGTTACTGCCACATGGAGGTTGCTGACGAGCAAACCTTTAAGGTAATTTAAACTTAAAACTGCTTGTAATTTATTTTAAATTTATGAAGGGACAATTTTAAAAATTCCTTTTTTAAACTTACTGGAATCATTTTGTAATTTTTTATTTCTCTTGTTTCAGGCTGTTTTGGCTAAAAACAACACCGAGTTCGAGGGCTGCACAATGGTCGTCGAAGCCGCGAGACCTCGAGAGAGTGGTGGAGGCGGATTCGGTGGGAGGGGTGGTGGCTTCGGGGGCAGAGGAGGCGGCGGCGGTTTTGGAGGAAGAGGAGGCGGTCGTGGAGGTGGTTTCCGCGGAGGCGACCGTGGCGGCTTAAGAGGTCGGGGAGGCGGCGGAAGAGGAGGCCGCGGAGGTGGATTCCGAGGAGGTGACCGTGGGGGCGGCAGGGGCCGTGGTGGCGGCGGCGGTTTTAAGAGGGGATTTGGAGGAGATGATGGCGGACAGAACAAGAGGATGAGGTTCGACGACTAAGTGTTTTAGGCAGATAACAAATGCATGAAATTTATTGTAAATTGCTAATTTGAAATAATTAAAAGCTACATTTACAATATATATCTTATATAAATGATTTTTTTCATTAATTTTCCATTCCAACGTGTTTTTCTATCAACCGGAAGCAACGTAACTATGATGTGTACGATTTTAATGATGTGGACCACATGCCTTGCTTATCAATTCAAATAAATATCAGAGATGAGAATAATAAAATGAACTGTTTTGGTGCTTTTGATTTACGTTAAGCTTGGTAAAAGCTCTTACAGAGACCTCTGCCGACAAAATAAATAAAATTACGCATCAAAGAGTTTTGATTGGCTGTATTTTGTTTCGAATTTCTTTCACTTTCAGGACTGCCACTCCTTCCTCAATGTGGGAGTGACGAGTGTGCCCAACTTTGGTACGTCACTTGCATGTGTTGCGGACTGCGGTGCATTTCGGCGCAAGGGGTGACCATTAAGCTCACAATCAGTGGCGGAGAACATAAATAAAATTCGCACCGCCCATGCCGGTTTCAATATATAAATAAAAGCCGATCGCAGTTCGCAGGTTGTTTGCCGCTGAAGAGATGAAAGCGCAAGAAGAGTCGTACGCAATGCTGAGCCACTCGTCCCGGCGGATCAAGTTGGTGCTGTCCATCCTGGTGGTGGTCATCGTCTTCCTGTCGTTTCCCCCATTGTGCCAGAGCCACGAGCACCTCGAGCCACCCGCCTACCGCTACTCTCGAGAGGCCAACGTCAAGCAGCACGACGCCGGCGGACACTCTCATGGACACGGACATGCCCACGGTGCTGGACACGGACACGCCCATGACCACGGACATGGGCACGCTCATGGACATTCACATGACCACGAGGAAGAAGAGCCGATGGAACACAGAGGCGAAGGAGAAGCGGCGCCGCCGAGGGACTACTCAGTCTGGGTCGAGGCTATCGGCGCCACCCTGCTCATCAGCGCCGCCCCCTTCTTCATCCTCTTCCTCGTCCCCTTGGATAACTCCAAAGAAAGAGAGCCTCTCCTGAAGGTTCAAATTTATTTTCAAAAATTAATTAAAATAATAAATTATTTTTTATTATTTTTTCTCAGGTTCTGTTGGCTTTTGCGTCCGGAGGGTTGTTGGGCGACGCCTTCCTGCACCTCATCCCGCACGCCTTGATGGCGCAAAGTGAGATTGAGACGGCGCCCCACTCGCACTCACACTCGCATGTGCAGAACAAGCACAACCACGTTGGCGACGCTGAAGGAGAGGCCCATGGGCATGACATGAGTGTTGGTCTGTGGGTCCTCTTTGGCATCGTCACTTTCCTGCTTGTAGAGAAGTTTGTCCGACTTGTCAAGGACGACGACCACGGACACTCGCACGGACAGCCTTCGGCAGCCAAGAAGGAGAAGAAGTCGGACAAAGAAGAGTCCGAGGAGGAGGATGAAGGAAAAGGCAAAAAGACCAAAAAGAAGAAGGCAAAGGAGGCAAAGAAAGAAGAGCCGGAGAGTATTTTTAATTCATATTTCTTATCTCAGTGTTGATAAACATTTCAAAGTTACAGGAGATATAAAAGTAGCCGGGTACTTAAATTTGGCTGCCGACTTCACGCACAACTTCACTGACGGCCTTGCCATTGGCGCATCCTTTTTGGCAGGTCGAGGAATTGGCGCCGTCACCACTGCGACCATTCTGCTACACGAAGTGCCTCACGAAATTGGAGACTTTGCCATTCTCATTCAGTCTGGCTGCAGCAGGAAAAAGGCAAAAACAAATGCAAGAGAAAATAATGAAATTAATTTATGCCCACAATTGTAGGCCATGTATTTACAACTGACGACTGCTGTTGGAGCCGTCACTGGAACCCTTGTCTCTCTATTAGCTGACGGAATTGGTATGTCATATATAGTAATAATTAAAACTTTCTAATTTAATTATTCTATTTGAAGGTGGAGCGGCAACGCACTGGATTCTGCCGTTCACAGCAGGAGGCTTCATTTACATAGCCACCGTCTCTGTGATCCCTGAACTGCTCGTGAACACCCGCTTCGGACAATCAGTCAAGGAGATTATTGCCCTGCTTGTGGGTGTTTACATGATGGTCCTCATTGCGGACTACGAGTGAACTGTTAATTTTTTTTTCCATAAATCATGTATTAATTGTTCAGTTAAATCTATATATTTAATATTAATATATGGAATGGCTCGAAAGGAATTCTATTTTTGTTTGAATCACATGGAAATAAAGTACCAGAGGATTAACTTCAATTTTTAATTGGAACCAAGTAACGTTAATTACTGAAAAATATCAATCACCCTACCAATTAAAGGATTAATTAAGGTGTCAGCAGAATTTAGCTTCTTGTATTCATCATCTTTTCAACTAATTAATAACATTTTATTCCGCATATCTTTATCAACAAATTTACATCTACACGACGCTGATGAGGGTCTTTATTGAAACTTGAATTTCCTGTCCTCGTAAGAAATTTGTCCAGTTCTGATTTTATGCTCCCTCTCATTCTGGAATTAAAACAGACAAGCGTTTAGCTAAGGACTTGAATTGACCTTTCATTAATTTACCCTTCTTTTGTAAAGAGTCGTGCCGTACGAGAGCATGGGCAAGACGACAACAGCAAAGGATACGAGTCCGTTCTTCCAGGTTGGTTTGAAGCGTTCGTAGCCACCAGCACGGAGGGCTTGGAACCTGGCGATGGCGGGGTCAAGCTAATCTCAGAGAAAATAATGCAGACGACACATTTTAAGAGATTGTTTGAATTTCTTACGACGGTGCCTCCCTCGCCAGACGCGTGCCTGTAAGGGTTGTGGATCTGCTTCAGGTAGTGCTGCTTCAGTTCAGCGGTCCGCTGCATCTTGTCCTTCAGGATAGCCATCTCCCGAGGCGAAATGTCGGGTGTGTCGGCCATCGTTTAGCTACAAATTCTCTCAAACCAAAAATAAAGGCAGTCTTGAGACTTTGAACCAAGTTTCGGCCAAAAATTCTCGTTTTCTAATTCGGCTGTCGATGTTTTTTCTATGATCTCCAAGGTGGGCGTGGTCCTTCGCATTCGCTCTTGCAAGGCGAATGACCTTGTACGAAAAAGAGAAACAAGGTCCGAGGAAAAGATTGACCCGCGATAATGCCGCGATTTTCAAATTGTACAAACCAAAACAAAGCAGACGTAAACAATTGTCCGTCGAAATTATCCACGATTTTATGGGATTTTGAGATTTGTGAATCAAATTTGAATCCGAAGAATGGCAGATCCCGTGTTCTTTGAGTTCTTGCACGCAGAAATCATCAAATACATCGTCGGAGATGACAATTCTCCATCAAAAGTTTGAACTGCAAAATAATATAGTTCTAGCGAAAATTTTCTTTTAATGATTTTCATTCATTTAGGATCTGGATCTGTCTGCGCTAGACACGATGGGCTTTTCATGCGGCTACAGAATTATCGAAAGGTTGAAAACAATACAATTCATCTATCATGAAATTTGACTTATGAACAAAAATATTTATGTATTTGTGCAGATTAACAAGAGAGTGGCCGAAATTCAAGGACGAACTGGAGGTGGTCAAGTTTATTTGCACCGACTTCTGGACCGCCGTCTACGGCAAGCAGATCGACAACCTGCGCACCAACAACCAGGGCCTGTACGTCCTACAAGACAACATGTTCAGATTCCTTAGCAAAATCTCGATTGGCAAGGAGCTGATGGAAATAGCGCCTAACGTAAATACTACTAAAGCTCATTTGATTGAAGTAATGAGTTAATTTTTATTGCAGTACTACACATTCACTTGCGGACTGGTGAGAGGAGCCTTGGCAAACTTGGGTGTGGTCAGTGCAGTAAATGCCGAAGTGCAGATCATGCCCTCAGTTAAATTTCACATCCAAGTGCAGAGGACGTAATTTTCTTATATTTTTATATTTAATTGTTCTGGGAGTTTTAGATAATTTTCCAATTATAAAAGCATGAAAGGGTAAAGGACCAAACTTATGGCCAAGTGTAAATTTCAATGCTACATGTTGATTGAATGATTAAAGCTTATTATCTATAATTTAAGTAGGAATAAAAGAAATTAAATTGTTAACCTATTTTTTCAAATTTTATTACACCAAAATTTGAATTAAATTTTTTTCAAATAACTATATAAAATTATTTATAAAAACCAGTAATTTCTCCTTCAAGCGCTAGATGGCAGATGGACCTCAATTGAAATTTTTTAATGGACCCGCATCCAACATTATTTAATAAATAGTAAATATGATCATAATAGTATATATTGTTTTAAATAGAATGATGCAGATTTAAATTTTCTGTAAATCCTGAAATTTTTTAATTATTTTGATAAAGTTATTTTAGCTTAAATAAAAATTACCATGTATCGAAGTATGCAACGTGCGTGACACGTGTGTTCACCAAGTTGCATACATTCACGTTCTTCATGCGGCTTGTAAAAGAAAGAAACTTGAATGTAAACAGTTAAACTAAAACTTTCCTAAAGGAACGGAAGGAAAAATATTTAAATTAACCAAAGTCAAATTAGAATTCCATATAAAAAGGGCCGTTTTTTATTTTTAAATTGTTTATTTCATACTTGCGTGTGTTTATCACGCATAATTTGAGATGAAAATTAGTATTGGATCTATTTCGAGCGGGACTCGAGCAGCCGGACAATTTGTCTTCAGCCAAGCGTTTCATAAAGTGTTGGGACGCGGCGGCATTGTAATTAAAATTACCTTCCCATCGGACTTGGCACGCTGACAGCGGCAACGATCTCTTGGTTAAATTCGAAAAATAAGTATAGTGTGAGGGCATTGCGGAGAGAAGATTAAAAAATTCTTGAAGAACGAGAGCGGCCGGGAGGAAGAGACGCGCGGGCGGCGAGAGACAAAACGTGTATTTCTAGCAAATAAAATGAGTCGGGGGTGAGTGTGGTTGGGTGAGTGATGAGCCACATGAGCAGCGATATATTTCCGAGCGTGACAGCGACACAACCATTTACATACCCGCGCCTCTCTAATCTAAGCCGCCGGAAAAGAATTAAAGCGCGCGCCGCCCTTCTTCTGACGATTTATTCTTGTTGCCTTTTCGGAAGCTTCCTTTGACAAATTAAAACACACCGAACCCTTTGTAACTCTAGGCTCAGTGGCAAAGCAAATACTTACACCGCGGTTTTGTTTTCGTCGGCGGGTGCGAGGAAAAAAGGCTTGTCGTCGCCTCGTCAGTTGGATTGCCGGTCGGCGCTGAAAGAAGCGATCGGTATCTTAAACACCGACTTGACAGCCAAACAAACTCGCCACCATTATCTCCTCAGAAGATACATTTTACTCATGATCTTTCTTTCCGAATAATAAATTTAGCGATTATCTTTAATATTTGAATTGTACCTAACAAGCAGACTAAGATATTATATTATTGTTGTTTAAAATAAACTAAATTAATTTAACAGAAATTGAAAATAATGAACACTATTTGAAATTGATCCTAGGTGAATTTATTTAAAAAAAAGTCCTGGAAAAAATGCTTAATAATATTGGAAATAAAGAAATTCAGTTTGAGAAGTCAATTAAATATCACCCTAAAAAATATAAATTGCCCCTGAAAAAGAAGCTTTGGTGGAAAATTTCCTTTAAATCGGTTGTTTTATCTTATTTCTTTACATGAGCTAAGTGAAATAATATTTTTTTGCATCAGCAGAGTGTAAACTTATTTATTTACATCATTCTTCTTGGTTTAAATTACAAGGAAACTAAATGTTAAGGCAAGCGTATAGAAAGGCGAATAAACAGTAATTAATTCACAGAAACAATTTTCTTGATGCTTTTTCAAGAGATAAGAACGGTTTCAGTATTTAAAATTGGAAAATAAGGCCAGAGAAAGCAAAAAAATTCAATAATTCCATGACAAAAATAACTTTTTCTGTTCTTGCTCAAAATTCTTTGTTCTTGAAAACTTTGTGAAAATTGGGCTGAAAATACAAATTTAAGCGGCTTGCCTTTGGAAAAAACCTCATATTTGCAAGGAAAGAAATCAGAAAGAATGAAATCCACAGGCTGTTTTAGAAAATCAAAGCGTTCAACCGTTTTTCGCTCAAGTGCAGCGACAGTGTTGATTTATTTGGTTTCCGCTGCAAATAATGTTTGTGTTATTTTGCATGAGAAAGACACAGTTTGGTTTTCAGCCGTCCCGCTGACAATGTAGCGTGTGACCTTTCACAAAGTGATCTCACCAGAGTCCAGGCGAGAAAGAATCCAAAACAAAAATCGAGCACGCGTGCTGCAAACTCAAAACAAAAAATAAGTCCCGGGCACAAAGATAAGCAGGGCAAGGCTTTAAGAATTTTCTCTTTGCGGTCAAAGCAAAAATTTTTCGGACATAAAATAATTTAGCAATTCAAATTTCACAAAAACTTCTTTATCTAATTTGGTTCTTCAGCAAACTTGATGAAATTTTGAAAGCTCATAAAATTTCTGTCATCAAAGTTTTCTGTTTATAAGCAATAAAAATTAAAAAAAGTTCTGCCTCCCAAAGGTACTTTGACTTGCTTAACTTATAATCATGAGAGCCATTTGAAGAAAAAAAAATACTGAAATTAATCGAGTTGGCCAATTCGTGGCAGGTGATAAAAGTTTGTCTCTGGTGATTTTTTTCCGTGGCCTGCGCCGGTCCAAAATCGTCTGAGGCTCACCGCTTGCCAAGACGTATCATTTGCGTGTTAATTTCTGAAAGCATACATCAAGAGGGCGAGCGAGCGAGCGAGCGAGAGGGACGCGCACGAGATGAAAAAGTGTTGGAGCGCGTTGGCAGAAGAACACGTGTGTGTTTCTGTTGGTAGGGTACACATATTTTGTTACAAGAACGCACGCAGTAATGTAGCATGCGGCTGTTTTACAAATAATTTTGGCCCGGTGCCGAGAGTCGCCGAGAGCGAGTCGGGGAATAAATTTATTTCCTCTTTCAACTTTTGAGAGTTAAACGGGGGCCGGCCCGCGCGGCATTTTAGTGTGTCAACATCAATAAATAAAGTCGCGGCTCAAACAAATTAATCGCCCGCCGGATTTACATGTTGTTTTGAGTACTTTAATGAGTTTCGCCTCTTATTCATTGTCGACTAATGGCCCAACGCTTTCTCACTCGCTCCTTAATTATTGCGTCTACAAATTTATGCCTTAATTATGAGTGCTCCTCCACAAATCATCCTTCCTCTTTTTACTCTACACCTACGCAATTAAAAATTACGCATGTTGAAATCGTAAATCACGACCGCACTTAATTATTCAAAGCAGTTTGGTTTAAAAATTGATCTAGAAGATAAATTTAATTTTTATTTATGCTAAGGTTGTTTATAATTAAATTTTAACTTTTCATGATTTCATTTCCCTTTTCATGTTGAATAAATATATTCCCTCAATTTAATGTGACTAATAAAAAAGCAACCAGTTGAGCACCTTTGTTGCGCAGGTTGCCTACCTTGGATAACGGCAGGCAAGGTACAATTATTGTGCTGGAAGAAGTACAACTTTTGATCATGTGTTCCTCTTTTTCTAAGCTCGCATTTTTAAGTAAAAAAGATGTGTAAACTATTATAGATAATTATTTAGCAAGCATTGGAAACTACTTTACAAACAAAATCAAGTTTTTTTTTTACAGACAAGGTGCAGGTTGAGCAATAAGAAGTTATACCCGCAAAAACAAACCAAAATGATGATTGTAATCACCAGAATCCAAAAAATACGGTTCGATTTTTTATCTGTCAATAAGAAATAATTTATCAAGAATGATTTTCATTTGCATAATTTTGTAAATCGTACCATTGTGAAATAATTGTTAACTTAACATGAAAACAACAATTAGTTATCAATTGATCCAACGTTTCTTAATTAAAATTCATCTAATTTAATTACTTTTAAAGAGCTCAGAGGTTTGATGGAAAATCTTTGCTTCATTTTTATTTTTTCAACTCATATCTGCGATATTTAAGCAATTTCATAAAAATAATTTGCTATGGAACGATGTACGCATACAATTTTATATAATTAAATTCCTTGACAATCTTTAAGAACTTATATGTTGCATATATTAGACAGTTAATCACTTTTGTAACAAATGATTTCTGTGTCTTGCAGATTTTAACCATTCTATAAAAAAAATGAATAATTTATTGAGTAAAAAACGGTTCAAAGTTTGAAATAAACAAAACCACTTGCAAAATTTCGTAGATTTTATATATGATAAAAATAATCTACAATTTTATTATTGCAAGTAGTATTGTTATTTCAAATGAGAAGGGACTAAAAAAATGCTTAATGCTCATTAAAAGGAATTATTATTATTATTTTAAATGAGATTAAACTTACTTTCAAACCATTTCAAACCATAAAATTTGAAAAACTTATAAAAAGGAGATTTATATGACAATTTGTATTACGATGGGTGGTCAACTTGTTTTTGGTGGTATTATTATGCCTACTGTTAATTTGCCCAAATGAATGCAAAAAAAATCTTATCTAATCTTATAATTGATGAAATCTGCAGGGTTACTGTGAAACAAACAAATTACATGACGGTTCTAATGATAATTTAAAAGATCTGGTCATTATCATTTCCCAATTGAAAGAAAATTTTGATTCTTTCCACAACTTAGAAAAAAGGATTATGCAAATATGATTAGAAGCGAGAGTGATAGGGTGGTGGGTGGTCAGGGGCCGACCTTGGACTTGCAAGAGAATGGTGGAGCGAGCGTTAAGAAAAACTAGCCGCTGTTTTGGGCTTAAGTGCAAAGCAGTGAATTATATTGAATTGAAAAATCTTTATTTTACAATACATTCAAAATAATAAATTTTGCTATTCATCGCAGCTACTAATTTTTTTAGAAAAAATCCCATTATGAAAGAATTTAAATTGTAATTTAATGATACAAGTCTCACAAATTTGGTTTAAATAGAAATGTAGCAAATAATTAACAACTGATGTTGTTTTTAACAGCACTTGTAAGGTGAGGAGAGTAGAAAAATGAGAAAATCCACACGGCGCGCTCTCCTATTTTGCGCGAGGGCCAAGTGCAAGCGATATAAGCCCTGAAGCTATTTTTATTGTTCCCTTTGTGCATCTCTCGCTTGCTTGCTCCCCTAACGCAGAGGGTCAGGGCGGTCAGGCAAGAAACTGCATTGCAAGCAGAATGAATGAGCACACAGCGTTGCAACCTCCGCTCAGGTAGAAATCGGATCCGACCTTTCGGAGGCAGCTCCTCCAACAGGCGTTTCAGGTACTTGCTCGCATTATTCTATTTTGAACAAAATAAAGAATACCACCCCCGTTCCCTGATGCGCAGGCAAGACGGCAATGCACCCTTGTTATGCATGTTGCATACGTCTCAGTTATGAATTTACTGAATTTAAATGTGCATAATAATAATTTATCAGATTTTGTTTCGTAAGTTTGGTCTATTGATGGTTTAACATTAACAATCTACAATTTCTTGAGATTTATATGAATGCTTTAAAAAAAAATAATTATGACCTTTTATAAGACTAAAGAACTTTGATTGATATAAGCCATCTCTATTTAAGCTACATTCTTTGTTCCGGCTGAAAATAAAATCAAGATCTTATCTCTTGGGAATGAAAACAACTATAAAAAGTTACAATTATTATTTCTTTTTATGAACTTGATTATTTTTACCAATTTTTACTGAACAATATATTTATTCTTTTCATTTCTGATAGCAGCATATAAATGGTACTACTCACGATAATCTGATTTACAAATTATTCAGTTAATTTTTAATGTCCATATTCAACATGTGTGTACCACAGAATTCACAATTTATTTATACTGAACAATTGTATTTAAATATATAAATGCTGAGCACAAAATAGAACTGAAAAGTAAAGGAAAGGGCAGATACAAGAGGTTGCAAGACTTGAGCTTGGGACGTAGCTAACTCAAAAGTATTTTAAGCGGTCTTTACAAGTAGAAGACACATGAAGTACATCTTTCACAACTGAAAAGCAAATTAAGCGGTTAAGAAAAGTATCTATCTCAGAGTAGGGGAGGAAGGTCTTTGAAGGCACAACTGAAAAGTATTTGAAGCGCAATTCAAGCGTAGTAAAACTTATGTCGAATATAAGTTGAAGTAACTCAAAAAATAAATGGTAAACTAAGCGCATATGAAGCTCAATTGAAGCGTATTTCTAAAAGCAAGTGGTAAGGAAGCGCAAACTAAGATCAATTTAAGCGCAATTGGTTTTCTGTGAGTAACAAAAATAAAAATTGATCATCTTTTATATATTTTTAGGTGACAATAAATAGCCACGCATCTGTGTGGCATTTTTCGAAACGAGAAATCTTATTTTTCCAACTATTTTCCCAACTGAAAACACAACTATTTATAGTCAACTATTTTTCCAACCAAAAAATTATTAAATTTCCAACTAAAAATTCTACAAAATTTTAACTATTTTTCCAACTAAATATCCAACTGATTTCGTGGTTCCAATTTTTAGTTGGAGTTAATAGTCGGAAACTTCCACTAAGGGTAGGCCTGATTAATTAAAATTACTTAATTTAAATGAGAGAGAGTCTTTAAAAGGGGTGATTTGGGCTTATTGAGAATTATTACCGGAGTTGTGATGCTAGTGTGGTTGGGCAATATGGCGGTTTTAGAGCAAAAGTGATATACGTCTGAACGGCTTGAGTCTCCCAGGCTGTCTGACTTGTCCGTTGGCGCCCAACCTGGCGTCAGCACGCCAGGTAGGGACGCGGAAGTCAGTGGCGCCGCGGAAGTAGGCGCGCTCGAGAACTTTTTGAGTTTAAGTTTTTTTTCAGTCAAACGCGGCTTTTACAAATGTTCGGCGGGAATTGGCTTTAAACGTATACAGGACTCTCTAAATTATTTTTATTTAAATATGGAATGGCCTTTAATTAAAATTACGTAGTGCTCGCGATGTTGAATCTGCGGCGGTCAGTCTCTCGGCGGTCCGTAGACGGCCAGGTCGATGGCCGGCCTAAGGGAGAGTCACGTCAGTGCCCCCTGGTTCAGCGTCCCGTCCTCAGGGCGCTCAAGGTTCTCTTCCGGACGTGACCCGAGGACTGGGAAGCACTCCGTCTCCGGGGCCCGAGCCGGCTTTGCAGCGAGTTGTTAGGGTGTCGTCTGGGGCTCGGCCTCCTGGAGGGGCTTGTCGACCTTGACCTCGATCTCTCGTCTGGGCGGCGTTCCTGTAGGGGCCACATGGGAGAGAAAGAGATGCAAATTATCAAAGTAAAACATTTTGCAAAGATTATTCATATTTTTTTTTCTTTGTCTCTTTCAATTCTGGCTTTGAGACTAGTTACATTTTGATTTAACTTAAATTTAAGTGTGTGTGTGTGTGTATGTACATTTACAATGGGTGAGCAAAGTTGCTGTGGTGGTGCCTCTTATTGGGCGGTCATCAAGGTGGAGAGGACCATGCCGTGAATTTCCTCTCGCGATGGGAGGGCTGCGAGAAGTCTGTTCTGGATGCGGGCTGCCAATTCGTCGGCCAGACGCCTCAGGTCAATGTTGTCCATGTTGGCCTGTTTTTCGGACACCGTCCAGTGAGCAAAAGAGAAGCGATGGACGGAAAGTTTGATTCGTGACTTTGGCGAGCGGCGAGGTGTTTGTTTTTGTTTGTGTCTGACGGAGGCGTGGTCGCATGCAGCCGCATTACGGAGTTGGTTGGTAGCACTGCTCTCTTCCTTGGAGTTGTGTTGGCAGTGCTGCAGCAGACGATTTTCGCATGACCGGCGAACAGGTGAGTGATGCAAATTTTTCGCAATTCTTGGTGACTTTCGCGGATTCTAGGCGTCAGGCGCGTCGCGTCTGACCGGTGTGGCTCGGCCGTGGACGACGGGCGACGGCTGGCAGTCGGCGGTCGCGCTGCTGTGCCGACTTTTGGCGAATTGCCGCAGGCGATTTGGTGCACATGGCGGTTTTGGCGGCAGCGCTGGAGGCGCACTTTGCTCGTACAAGTGAGTGTGAATATTTGTTTGTGTTCCATTACATATTAATTAATCACGTTTGAGACAATCAATTCAATTCTTTTCGGAATTTAAACATTTTCTTTTGCTAATTGCGCGCAGAATTAATTTTAAATTTTTCTCTGAATTTTCCTTGACAAAAGTTACATATACACAGATAAAATACGCTTATTAATTAAAGGAGGTCAAAAATTTCATATTTTTTCTCTGCGAGACGTCTTCTCATGAACAAAAATGATATTCCATGAGGTTGCGCGTGATAATTTTTTGCTTGTGCCACCAGAATCGGCACTTTTTTTCAATCTTGGCGCGCTGAGTTGCTGAACCACGGGGGCGCGGCTCAAGAGCCCTTCGCAGGCCGGTTCGGGCTTCTGATTGGCTGAGAGACTTTTACATGTGTATGGCCCTGCAAAAGTCGCGATCGGAAACTTTTGAGTGCCGTTTCAGACAAAAATAAACCATGTCTCGCGGCCGTATGCATAAAATTATTTATTTGGATTATTTAAAAACGTACTTTTCACGCTGCCGATGCGATAAGAGAGTTAAAAACCCGAAAAAATTGCCACGGACTGTGACCGAGCGGCCGCCAGAGAGCCGGGTCGGCGTAAAAATGAGGTCGTGGGGGCGAAATAAGACTTTGAACAAACCAATTAAACCCTACCTGAGTCAGGATACTATATTTCCGAAGTCGCCTGGTCATCCTCAGGCCCCAAGAGTCCTCCCTGGAACGAAAATCTGCGACATATACGCGAGGCGACTCCGGCGGCGGGTCCTTCTTGGCGAAAACAAAGCACGCGTCACGCGGCAGACACGAGAACCTCCAGAGGGAGAAAAAGCGACGGAAAGCAAAGTGATAGAAAATTCTTATTTCCACATTAATTCTAATATAGCACTGGCATGAATTATTTTTTTCTGCAAAAATCAGAAAAAAAATTAGCAATTTTTTGAAATTTTTTTATTTCAAATTGTGTCACGGGTTAAGAAGAAACATAAGGGTTTGCTAAATCTGCTGCCATAAAAAAAATTATTATTTTAGAGAAAAACAATAAATTACTTGACAAAGAGCTATTCTATCATAATGTCCATAATAACTTTTTTGTATCTTGATTTGTTCTCTACAAAAAAACGCTTTAAATTTGAAATTTGAAAATTTCACCTTGAAAAAAATTTTTTGGAATTTATTTGAGATGGCCAATCGATCTTTCGTTTATTTTTGACCCAAGAATTTAATTTTTATTGACTAATTCTCAGCCGTTTGTGAATTACGAGCATAAGTAATGTATCATGTCAGTCGCCTGACTTGGCGCTTCAGCACTCTTTGAAAAATCCTATCTTACATGAATGCAGCTGAGAATATTTTAATAAAAATTAAATTCTTGGGTCAAAAATAAACGAAAGATCGATTGGCCATCTCAAATAAATTCCAAAAAATTTTTTTCAAGGTGAAATTTTCAAATTTCAAATTTAAAGCGTTTTTTTGTAGAGAACAAATCAAGATACAAAAAAGTTATTATGGACATTATGATAGAATAGCTCTTTGTCAACAACTTTGTAATTTATTGTTTTTCTCTAAAATAATAATTTTTTTTATGGCAGCAGATTTAGCAAACCCTTATGTTTCTTCTTAACCCGTGACACAATTTGAAATAAAAAAATTTCAAAAAATTGCTAATTTTTTTTCTGATTTTTGCAGAAAAAAATAATTCATGCCAGTGCTATATTAGAATTAATGTGGAAATAAGAATTTTCTATCACTTTGCTTTCCGTCGCTTTTTCTCCCTCTGGAGGTTCTCGTGTCTGCCGCGTGACGCGTGCTTTGTTTTCGCCAAGAAGGACCCGCCGCCGGAGTCGCCTCGCGTATATGTCGCAGATTTTCGTTCCAGGGAGGACTCTTGGGGCCTGAGGATGACCAGGCGACTTCGGAAATATAGTATCCTGACTCAGGTAGGGTTTAATTGGTTTGTTCAAAGTCTTATTTCGCCCCCACGACCTCATTTTTACGCCGACCCGGCTCTCTGGCGGCCGCTCGGTCACAGTCCGTGGCAATTTTTTCGGGTTTTTAACTCTCTTATCGCATCGGCAGCGTGAAAAGTACGTTTTTAAATAATCCAAATAAATAATTTTATGCATACGGCCGCGAGACATGGTTTATTTTTGTCTGAAACGGCACTCAAAAGTTTCCGATCGCGACTTTTGCAGGGCCATACACATGTAAAAGTCTCTCAGCCAATCAGAAGCCCGAACCGGCCTGCGAAGGGCTCTTGAGCCGCGCCCCCGTGGTTCAGCAACTCAGCGCGCCAAGATTGAAAAAAAGTGCCGATTCTGGTGGCACAAGCAAAAAATTATCACGCGCAACCTCATGGAATATCATTTTTGTTCATGAGAAGACGTCTCGCAGAGAAAAAATATGAAATTTTTGACCTCCTTTAAATGCGGCGGCGACAGACTGGGTGAGGGGATGAGTCGGCCTATTTATTGCATTAATCGGAATGCCGGCGCAAAGCACGCGTGACCGGCATGGCAGCCATCATGTTTCTATTTCTTGGCTGGCCGCGAGTCCCGCCCTCGGCGCGCCGCCATTGGTGGCTCGGCGGCGCCGCTCGCGGTTGGCCTGACGGCGCGCACCGTGTCCGGCGCCGCCCGCACCTCCGTCCGTCCATCCGACCGACACACACACTGCACGCCTGATTAGCGCCGATTCCAGTCCACTTGCTTTGTTGCAACCACGCGACACACCGAAAACCGACAGACCGCCGTCATGGATACAGGTAATTTGCTTTCTTTTATTCGCGTCCGACTCCCCGTTGTCCGACCCTCGACCACTTTCTTTCTTTCGAGTCATTGACAATTCGGCACCGCGCCCCCAGGCTGCTTTTTGCCGCCGATTTACTTTGCGAAAAACCAACCTTCAACAAATATTCCTAAAGACACCTATTTACTTGAAAAAGTTTTGTTGAGTGAAAGAGACGAAAATGATAATTTTTTTTTTTTTTTTTTTTTTTTTTTTTAGGGTCAGGCCAAGACAAAGTCTTGTCGGCCTGTGCCCTTTATTGGTGGTACAGAAGGCACCACCCAATTAATTTTTTTTTTTATTTTTGTTTTTGGGTTCAACTTTATTTAAAAAATCATCATTTTTTGCTGGCATATCCTTAAATTTGGTCCACGCGATGATGACAAACAAAGCTGAAAACTAAAAGAGAGAAAAAGATTAAGAAAGGATGTGGATTTGGTTGGGGTAGGGGAAGGTCAGATTTTGATATCTTTTGGTATTAAGGATTTACTGCATAATTTTTTGTTTCAATAATTATGTCTATTTTTAGTTTTATTTGTGCTGCAAATTAAAAATAAAAAGGTTTTCATTTATATTTGGGTTAATTTATGTGTGTGCTGGAACTGCAATTTTTTTTCAGTCAGGAATTAAGGTTTGATACCATAATTTTATGTTTTCTTTAGCCGTATTAATTGAGTTAAAGTTTTTAAAGCGGGCAGGCAACTTGTTCCACAGTCGCGGCATAATAAATTCCCACGTTCTTTCGTGAAATATATTCTGGCTAAGAGGCATCACTAGCGGGTCGGTTCGCGCCGTGCGTGTTGAATAATTGTGCGTTCTCCTTGCACCAAAGTTTCCGTCAAAATATTTAAGAAGAATAATGTTCTGTTCAAATATTAGCTCAAGCGGTAATGCATTCCAAATTTTAAAGACATTTTCATTATGTACTTTTAATTGATTTTTTCTGGCCATTATGAAGAGTAGTTTTTCTTGTAATAATTTTAGGGGCGTTATTGTGCCGTGGCCCCATGCCACAAGCCCGTAAATTAAATGCGAGTATGCGAGAGAGAAATAGACGGTTCTCAATGAATCCGCATTCAGTCTGCTTTTTGTTAGCTTTACTTCTCTTATTACGGAGCGTAGTTTGCTCGCCACTTTTTATTTGGGGCGCCCAACAGAAATCATCATCAATGAGAATTCCTCTTCTTCATTAATCTTCATTAATTTAGACTTTGAAACATTTGCTCCGTCACCAATATTAAGAACATAACTGCTACTGGAATTGAAAAAAATTAAATTCTTGTAGGCTAAATTATAATTTGTTCTTGTTATAGAACATTATAAAATTAACATGCATGAGTGCTAAAATTATCTAATTTATCCACAAAAAAGATAAATCTAACTAAGTCAGCACCAGACAGCACAATGATTATTTAAAGTAGTTAATATGAATTTTCATTGATTTATCACTCTAAAATTTGATAATGAAACCAACTTTTTTTTAATCTTTGTTCGCCTCGGACATATTAACGTTTTTTCTATTTTTCGAATCAACTTTTGGTGCACGTTTGACTCTTCAGCATACGCTAAAGAAACTCGTAAAACTGTTAAACGTTTCTCCAATACCATTAATATTCAACTTTTGAATGAGATTAAAAAATACTTAAAATTGTAAAGTATGCAAAATCTTTGCACAGATGATGCTTTTGTTGCCTATCTTCAAACAATGTACTTAATTTGGGAAGCTGAATTTTGTCATACAATAAAAGTCGTTTTCCATTCCAAGATGTGTGGCATAATGGAAGTGCTTGTATCAAACTACTGTTATCAAAATTGAAGTTTGTCAGTGTAAAAATAATAATAATGCCACGTTAATTATTCATTTTTATGGCATTTTCTGAGTTTCATAAATTTCTTCTTTTCACTTCTTCATTGAGATTCTTATTGTTATTATCTTGCTCATTTCATGAAAGAAAATTCAAAAACAGCTTTTTACAATTATTACTGTCAGGTATACTTATATAAATTATCGAATCGCTGAAATATAGAATCATTTAAATTTATATTCTATTAAAACAGCGCTCAAATGTCAGTAAAAATTGTATTTTATAATATAATTCTCTGTAAGATTAAGTTGAAAAATGAAACTTTTTTATAAAAAATTTATAAAAAGAATTGAAAGGAAATATCATTCTAAATTTTCAGCCATTCACACTCTATA